GGAAGAAATGCAGTGAAGATCCGAAATGTATCATGCTATTTGTGTACACTTATTTCTTTCTTATCTAAATGCGTAATCATTAAATGAATTGCTCGTACGAGTATTTTGAAGATTACTGGTATAAAATTCTCATCACATTGCAGACACTCGTACATATCGATATCGAGTGAAATCGCAATTGTGCTATTTTTCATAAGTATGTATAGAATGGAATCACGCTGGAGTTCAGTGTGAAATATTCACAGCATTGTTCTGAAATTTTGTAAATGAGGACATAACATTCTTTAGATACTAAATCTGAAGAACGTTATAGTCACACAAGCACGTGATTCCTATACCCTTCTTCCCTCCCCCGCCTCAGATAGCAGTCCACAGATATGTTTCGCGGGTATCTGCGACCAATAATGTGGTTTCGTTGTGCGGTCAGATCGAGCGGTGACATCGTGCCGGCCGATGGAGACAAAATCAATTAACTTTGGTAACACAAGCGTGCCTAACATATGAATGCGTCCCGCACGCGCACTCGCAACATACGCACGTAGTAGATACGTAGTACGCAACGTATATAGGGTGCGATAGAAATGGTGGACTTGTCCTTCACTTTCTCTATAAACCATCATTTTTTCCCGGTTGAAAAAATTTTGTGCTTAATCACGTTTAGTAAAAAGAAATCGGCTATGACGAGACGGTTTTTAAATAGTTTTCTCGCTATTTACTGTTTAGAAGAAACTAACTTCGGAGACACCCTGTACATTGTAGTCTATACGAGGCGCCTGTAACGCGTGCATTTGCCGCGTGGGTTGCTATGGGCAACCCGTGACTAACACACGTTCCAGCATCACGTCTCTCACCCTTCTCGTCTCTCACCCCCATCTCCCCTTTTCTTTTACCTTTCTCTCACTCTTTTCTCTTTTCCTTTCTCTTTTCTTTCTCTCTCCTCTTGTCGATCTCCTTTTTGTCGTTCCTCCTCTTTCTGCCTTGCATTGGATGCAGTGACGTAACAGTCATCGCGATGAAACTCAAGAATTAATAATCAATTTCGGGGGAGAAAAATTTCATTGTGCTCTGTCATCGCATGATTGTGTGATTAGAAAAAAGTTCTATTAAGTTGTAAACAATGCAGACCTATCCTGTCTCGTGATATTTTCTACAGTACTAGTAGGAATGCTTTTAAGCAATTGCGTGTGGAATTTGTGTAAAAATTTCATGTACAATTAAAATTTATGAAATAATTTTATATTGTCAATATATGTCGATTAAATTATACACGCATATGCATATTATTAAATGAATGGCTACTATTAAATCGAAGGAAAAAAAATAAGTAAATATATTTTCAGTGTGTATACGGATAGTTTGTGAAAATAAGATATAAAATTCCATCAGCGCCACAGATGGCTAATAGAGCATTATGTCTAATCATTCCTACGAATGCATTCCGCAAATCGCTTGATACGTTACTGTAAGCCATCTCTCTTCGTTTCATGCGACACGTTTATCCTTCTCAGGGACACTCATTCTCGTTCTCTCTTCCTTTCTCTCTTACCATCTTTCTCTCCTATGCCTTGTACCCTAGGTTAGCGTTCTCGTCGTGCTTGTATGAGATCCGTTGGTCCTCTCCCCTTCACAGGAGTGGATTTCTATACTAACGAGACTCGAACCGCAGCTTACTTAAAAGGCCGCGTTATAATCTTATCCGAAAATTGTATCAATTTTTGAAAATTGTACTTCGAAAGAAAGATACGGATAAACTTGACTTCAGCCTACTTCGAACCATATTTATCTTTAAGAAATCTTGATAGGACCATAAATAGATGATGATAAGTTTCGCCTTATCAGGCGATTTCTCATCTGTTTATCGTCCATTTATAAGTTTCGAAGTAAGCCAAGAAGGCTGAAGTGAATTCCAAGTTCATCCGTATCTTTTTACCACTTAGAAAAAAATCATTATCATCATAGTATATGACGACACATGACCGTCAAAACGTCGTTTACGCTACGTTTTCTGTACCCAAGAAGCATCGTCGATTATTGATTTTACGATAGACACATTCGCATGTATTTAGTTCTCCGATGTCGATGTACCATGTGTACAAGAACGAGATCAAAATGGTACTTATGGTGCGTATAGCATGCTAAGCGAGAGAATTTCTCGATCTATTGTGAGGCATACTATCGTAATTAACTGCTGCTTATCTTGGTAGTGTACATCTGAAAGGCTGATTATCTAATATCATTTTAGAGAATGATAAGTGATGAATTTTAGATAAATAGAAACTTCTTGTTTAATAGTTAAATTAAAATTAAATTTTTTTAAATTTTCTTTCATCGGAGTTTGCGTCTTTATTAAATTTATCTATCCAAAAATAACAAGATACTGAATATTGTACAGCGTCAGAAGAAAAAATATATCTTTTAATTAAATATAAAATTATAATTAAAATCTCTATTACTTTATCGATTTTATTTTGTGAGATAACATTTGCAGCATCCTCGACGACCTCGACATGTCTTCTCAAGAAATGTACTTACAATTATTTATTTATTCAGATCCCCTGTATATATACATTTAAGATTAAAATCAACGAGTCAACGAATCAGTAGGTAGATCCCAAGCGAATCTAGGTAAACCTGTAAAAACAAAGCCGCCGTTTGTGGAATCTCCCAGGATAACGCCTGGGTTTTCACTGAAGAGGGATCGTCCCTGAACTCATGGCAGCGACGTGCGGAAGAGAAGGGGTCATGGAACTCATAGAGAGGGGAGCCCACCATAGTGGAGGTGGATGAGGCACCAAAAGAGAGAGAGGTTTCTATAGGGGATGCTGGCTGTATGAAGAAAGATGAAGAGTCGCGACGAACCTTCGACCATCACCCCCTCACTGGAACGCTCTCTTTTCCTTACTCTTCCTCTGCGTTCTCTTTTCTCTTCTGTTTAACTCTATCTACTGCTCATTGCTTTCCAACTAGCTTCGGACAAAGAGAGAGAAAGAACAAAGAGACATAGAACGAGAAAACAGCTCTAGAAGCAGGAGCTGAAGGAAGAGAAACGTTGGAATGCAAGTTGAAATGAGAAGGAATAAGATAATACGAATGTTTAAAGAGAAAAAAAGAGAAGGTTGCCGCGAATATGAAAAGAGAGAGAGAGAGAGAGAGAGAGAATGGAGATCACGAGGCAAGAGAAAGGAGAAGGAGACAAAAATAAGTAATTCTGATTGTAATAACTGGACGATTGAATTCTGATGACACGTCACGAGATAGATAGATGAAGAGAATGGATCGAGAACTTCACAAATTATAAGGAAGACATATTTCGAGAAAGAAAAAAAAAATAGAAACGGAATGATCATCAAGAGGAATCAGGGAAAGAAAGAAGTAACGAGATAGTACTGTTTCAAGATGGAGGAAACTTAATCTTCCAAGATTAAAAATACAATCTTGGCATTTCGAGAATAAGAAGGGGAAAGAAGAGCAAAAGGGGAAGTGAGAAGTCTGCCGCTGGGGTGACAGCGACAGAGTTAGGCTTCCTTCGGGAAGAGGAGGAGAGACCCAGCGGGAGTTTTGAAAGCAGAAAGGGAGAGAGAGGTGAATAGTAGAGAAGCCAGGGCAGAGAGCAGACAGATGATGTGAGTTAGAGGGAGAAAGAAGAAAGGGGACTATTTGGGGGAACAGACGAGGGATGGGGAGAGAGTGAACAGAACAGACAGAGGGAGGAACAGAGACAGAGAAACAGAGAGAGAGAGAGAGAGAGAGAAAGGGAGCGAAATGGGAATGAGAGAGACAGGGAAAGAGAACAGAGAGACCAGGCAGCGAGTGCGCCCACCGAGCCGCCTCCATACCACCTCCAGCATTCCCAGCCTGCACACACAGTTGCAGCTGCACCGCGGCCGTGGCTCGCTCGTGTGCACATGCGAGACTGCGCGCGCGTCTCTCGCATAATCTCGCGATTCTTTCTCGCGTGTGTACGTGTGTCTCTGCGGATGTATATACATGTATAACTATACTGCGTGACGTGCAACAACGTCGCCGCTGTGCAGTTTTAACGACGCCGGTTCCTTCGCTACTTCGCTTATCCTCCCGCTGGACGAGATTGCGCATCTATCGACCATCATCATCCCTGCGATGTTAAGCTTCAGCTGGACTTTCGAAGATTTTTGACGTAAGCGAGCGAACTCACCGTGCCGAATCGTCAGATTCAGAAACGAGCGCGCGAGCGACACTTTCGCCGATGTAAATTCGTAATTAGAAGGGTCGCAAATCGATTGTCCTTCCTGTATAACATTCAGCTTCGGTAAGGGTCGGATTGCTGAATAATTGTTCACGAGCTGAGACATTGACGAGGATTGACGAACTCTCTCACTGTCGATGTTGAATTTGCAGACGGAAGGGCTCTCGGAGGTCTCTCGGTCAAGATTCTAGCTCCTCTCCACCAATCCGGGTTCACGCGGTGAACCAGAAATCGACGCCGCGAGCTCGCAGTCGCTGAGATAACTGAGACGAGTTCGGAGGATAGCGTAGAGACGTGAGTGTAAAGCGTGAAGTTGCCAGCGATCGGCTTGTATCGGTTATTTTTTTTTGCGTTCCTCCGCGGCGAGCCACACTGCGCGAAGCACGTGCGAACCGCGAGGCCGAGAGAAGTGCATTATCGATCGCGTCTCTCTCTGGGCTGTAATCTCGAGAAGCGTGTCCTTCTCGTTAGCGCGATACTCAGCCGGACGGCAGGAGGAATCCTGACATTTCGCAAATGTCAACCACAGCCATTGGCGTAACTTCCGCGTAATCGGAGCGTGATGAACGATAAGAGACCAGCTCGTGCTTTCCGTGCTGAAACCGTACTCCGTTCTCTCTCTTCTGCGACGAATCCGAAAGTGACAAACGCGTTGAAAGCGATGCCTCGAGACACGTGATTTCAAGGACCGATCGAAAGCTAGATAGACTCGACGTCTTCGATTCCAGGGATTCCAAGAAAGCGAGGAAATCTCGTCATGGATTGGATGAGGAGACAGGATGTCAAGGAGGAGCCGCAGGAAGCTCCTAACACCTTGACACCGGAAGACGACGACGAGTGTTGCTTCGAAGAAGACACGTCGATAGACGAGGGAATGGTACGTGAGATTTCGCGCTACCGTCTTTTTATTATTATTTGCGATTGTTCGGAGAATTAATTCGATCGTGTCCTGCAATAATTATTGCCATTTTAATTTTAAGATACATTATCACACACGAAACGCAGACACTTTATATGCATAAAGGCAACGATCGACGTGTCAATATACATATTTATCGAGCTGTTTATATAATAAGACTTGATGTATGTTTTAATTATATCGCATTACATATGCACACTTATTGAAATATAAATGTACCACATGATTAAAGCAGCAATCAAGGCAGGGTAAAATTAGTATTTATAGCATTTGCACAATGCAAATTAGTTAAAGATGCATCGCCGAATATCGTCACTTCTCCTTGTCTGGCGTTACATCGGTCAAGGTGGAAATTTGCATATCCCGGTTTGGAGAGTACGAGGTCTCCCTCATTCGAGACCTGCACTCTCCTTTAATAACGGTTGTACACGAATGAGCATCGTGATCTTCGTCGTATCTCCCAACGTGTCCATGAATGTTAATAATAACGCCGTTATCGGCCGCTCGCCATGGTCGTAATAATCGTTGGTGACGGTCAGTTTAATTCGCGAATATCGCGTTCGACGTACGCGAATATCGATAGTCCGTGAGTCCGCGGTGAAATCACAATCGTATACCCGCGCGTCTTTTCGATTACGCGCACAATTATTGCGTTCGCGGTTTTTTGCGAGTTTTCCCGCGAGATTGCCAAACCCCCTCCCTCCCGACCCTGCATCTATCTATGGTAGCATCTGTCAGAGTCGCGCCCTCGAATTGCATCGTGCCCTGTTCGAGAGAGTATCGAATTTTCTCCAGGTAATTGCTGGGGCGGATGCTGACCGTTAGGGCATTCGCAGTTACGTGTGTGTCGCCGCTATCCTTTTTTTTCAACCTCCTGTCGTTCGTTTCGAATCTGCAGGAGGTCTAAGAATTGTATTATGCAACAACTTGTCAGCACTGTCTTCTTATTACTTTCATGTGTTGTTTTGATATTATAATTATAATATAATTGTAATATTGTATATATATATATATATGTATATATATTGTACTAGCAGAGAAGATCTTTATTTGCAAACGCTACACGTTTATAAATCAAATTCCACGATCTCAGATTATGTAACGGAAGTAATTCAACATCTTTTTTAGCAACTATTTTGACTCATTCTGCGTTGATAAATCATATTTTTTAAATAATAATATAACCATGTGGCTTCCACTTCACATATGGATGCTACGTCTAACGTGTCATTAACGAATATAATGTTGTGTGAATTGGGCTTAACCGACTACCGAGAAAATGGGGGCTCGAGTATAAAATTACGTCGAATCTACTGTTACGTCCATTGTTGCGTCCAAAATGACCGTTTGAATTACTAACCGCTGCTGGCGGAGTTACTCTGCTCGCTCGGGGCGAATTGCATGCGAACCAATGTGCGTGCGCTACGCACAAACATTTAACAGGGACAAAAGGCTCGCCCGAGGCGATAAATCATAAAATTATACGAAAAAATCGAGGGTTGTTGGAGTCACGTATCATCCTTCCTTTATATTAACGTCGCGATATTTATATCTGTTTGGAAATGATACTGGTTTATCCATAGGATATCGTATAACTTGAGCTTTTAAATACGACTTGATTAATATCAACTTGATTTAAGTTTGTGAGAATTTTTTTATTTTAATTTATGCCAACAGATTTGACTTTAAAAAATTAGAAAAAGTTACGACGAATGGACTTTTCTTTAAACTTTCTCCTCTCTAAATCGAACTCATTCCCTTTAAAGAACCCACAATTGAAAAAGGGGCCGCGATAATGGCACTCGGTCTAGGGCAATTCTTTGGATCCTGGCAACATGCCGACTCGGCCGGAAATTAAGAGAAGGAGGAGAAATTGCCAGTTGATACGTCTATATCGATTTATCGGGATTACGCGAATCACGTTCGTGGAAGTCGCGCGAATTCCGCATTTTCCGGTGACCATCGGTGACCGCATCGGTGTTCTCCTTCTTTCTGCCTTCCTTCTACCATCTTGATAAAAGCAGGTGATAAGTTACTCGAAGCCACTTCGGAAACCTTGGCAACGCCGAGGTACTTTCGAGGGGCCACGATGATTCAGCGCCAGCTGCGCCCTCGAAGAAGAAAGAGGTGGAGGAGGAGGAGGAGGAGGAGGAGGAGGATCAGTTATAGCAACAGCGCTCGAAATTTGTTAGTCAAAACCGAAACATCGATCCCTCGTCTCGGTAGGATTAAACAGATACACGTCTCCTGAGTAGAATACTCGACGAGGTTTTCCACCTCGTCTTTCGCTACGTGCGCGCCGCTATCTCGTCAATTCACTTCCTGTTATCTCATTGGGCGATCGTATCAGCCGGAAGTGAGGAAGGCGGGAAGGCGCAGGAGACAGGCGGTAGCGTAGGCAGCGACAGATAAGCACGGTAGACTAAATAGTTACGAGTATTTGCTGTCAAAAGTCGGGAATAATGGGCAGTATAATACCAGCGTTTTAACGCTTCGCATGCGATACACATCGCAAATTGCTTCCTCGAAAGTTTATTACGAAAGTTAGATTTATCAAGCGCGTGTATCGTGTAAAATTCAATGACAGTGTGTTAAGAAATATTTATCAAGTATAATGTAAGGATATTACATTATCATATATATGGCTAGCATTCCGTATGATGATGAAACTAATTTTTTATTAATAAATTAATACAAATATCTTTTCAAAAAGCAAATATTAAAAGTTTAAACATACTAAAACTATCGAAAACTTATATATCTCTGAGTTTCCTCCTGCTAATCCAAGTTTATTTCAACATTGAACAAACTTCACAAAATCTGTGAAGTTTATTCCTTAGAAATTTACATTAATTAATAGTGAAAGTTTGCGTATTCCATTGTACAGAACTCCACGTCTGATCCGATCGCCAAATAGCAGTGCGTGCCGAAATAATGGGGTTGCCCGGAAATTGAAATATAATTTCAATCGAAAGATGGAGAGAAAGAGAAAGAGGAAGAGAACGAAATCAAGATAGAATCGATAGAGAGTCGAAAAGAGAGATAGAGAAGGAGAGAAGAGAAGAGAGCGAGGGTGTCTGTTGCTCGGAGCTCGTCCGCAGGCAGAAAACGGGGGGATGATAGGCGACCAGTCACCATTTCACCCCACCGGCCGCGACCACGTCGGGGATGAAGTATGACTCATCCGGGTGCCACCACCCCTGTTTTTCGGCCGTCTCTCGCGTCGGGAAATTCACCACCCGTGACTCCCCTCTGACCGTCGAATCTGTTCATCGACCCTACCGTGTTGCCAGCGAGTAAACGAGCATTATCATAATCCGTAGCGACAGCGGGAAGAAAGATGCACCATCAGGCGCGTGCAGTTCAGGTGCCCAACCGTAGTCCTTGTTCGTGACTTTTCGTGCTCGTTACGATTCCGCAGTCGAATGGTTCTTGCTATTCTTTCGAAGGCAACGAGCCGTCACGGATGATCAGTGCTACCGTAGTCGAATTTTAGCAAAAAAAGAAAGGAATATATTGTGTGTTTTTAGAGAAATATAGATGGTAAATTGCACTTTGCGACGTGCCTGCGATTTAGAAATAATGGTGAGTTGACTGTAAGGCGGTCCTTTTTTTGTATTTTAGGTTTCCTATTGTATTTTTTGCTCGATTTTTTGTTATATTTTTAAATATCTTTTCTAATTCTATTTTATTGTTTATTTCACTTGTATAAAAATACTAGATGAATACGAACATTATTTTTCCAATGAAGATTGAAGATAATTTGAAAGTAAGAATTGAAATTATATATTATTTGTGCAGCGTCAATATCTTTATATTGTTTCCGAATTAAAAGAATCGTATTTCTATACCATATTTAGATCCCTCGTTAGCACGGTAAATGCGATAGACAGCGTCGCAGCGTGGCATCAAAATAAAAAGAACAGAATCTAATCCACACGTGGTGCAGACAAGAAAGAGATCTAATCCACATGTGGTGGCACTCGGATGTCATCACGGTCACTTGACGAACGAATTAATCCCATTATTTTTATTCTTTTTACCTCATCCTTTAGCCTCGTAAGAGGATGTGTATTTTACATATGCGTGGTGCGTCCCGGAGTTGGACAGCCCTGCTTCTTCCTAATGAGATGCAAAAGCATAAATAAGATCTTATTTCTCTTCGTTCAAATGAGCGTTATCAATTTTACTTTTTAATTTGAAATTGTAATCAATTTAAAATTCTACTCGGAATTTTTTATTTAAAATTTAATTTGTGCAATTTGAAAACGCCAAGAAATTTTGAAGAGTGCTAGAGATGTGACAGCGTTTGATCGAATTTTTATCAAGAAGAATTTGCTTTTTCACCCGAAGTATGATTCCGAATTTCGTCACGAAATATTTTCTATTCAATACCACGTCTAGAAAATCTCGCATCTGCCTCGTGCGATTTGACGGACGGCTTTCGATGTCAGAACGAGATTACGTGGTTCAATCCCTTTGGAGGCGGATTTATGTCTTCGTGTCGGTGTAGATGAGGGAATGCACTTTCAGGTGATCATTATTGCAGAGACAGTGAGGGGACCGCGATTCGGATCCACCCCTTCGGGATTGTGGGGGCGTAGATTATCTATCGTCATTGTCCAATCGATCGATACTGCACGGTCAGAATTATCGCCACCCTTCGAGAAACTTCTCATGCTTTTATCTTATTTTCTATAATAGGGAATTGGTACGAGCTTTTCGTAAGCTCGTAAGAAACCTATTTGTCTTTTGCACGTTATTTTTTTTTATTTTAAATATTTTATATATCCTAATATTTAAATATATACATTTTATTTGACATAACTAAAAACTTGTTATGAATACAAAAACGCGTATTATAATCTTCTTAGGTTTTTGTTCTTTATGCTATTTATTTCTTGCATAAATAGGAACTATAAAGTTCACTTTCTTCCTCTTTGCTATATCTTATCGTC